TATGGCCACTCAAATGGGCGCCGCTGGTACACGCAGTCAAACAAAATGTTACTTTAAAAATTATGCCAAATTTTTGTAACAAAGGCACTGATTGTTTTTTGTGGGCTCCCTTCTGGTCTAAACTAAAAAGAAATTGTGACTCAAGTGTTCAGCTCTTTAGCGAAGCTTTCTTGAAATCAACTCATTATATATTTAAGCATAGCAGTGGGAGTGAATTGTTCCACCCTTTTTTCTTAGGTTCTGTGGATCTGATGGCTGCCTTCAATTTGGGTGATCAGGCCAACGTCCACATCACGGCAGGCATGTGCGGCCAGGTGCCGACAGAAGATGAGGTTTCTGGTAAACAGCCTATCCAGGACGAGTTCCGTCCAGGCTACCTTGTTCTCAAGGGACTTGGAATGAAGAGACTCCTCGGAGACCTCCTAGTTAACACTGGTATGCAGCACTATCGTTAATTGAGTAGCAAACAGAAGGCTCAATGCACCCTCCAAACTGATGTCTATCGCGAAATGCGGCCGTGTAACCATTGGAGACTAAATTACATTTCAAACCTTTTGCGCGTATTTTGTCAATGCTTACATTAGTGTTTGTAAGCTTGTAAACACAAGTGTCACCAACCGAGAGGAAGCAACTGCCGATATCGAGGCACTTCAGTTTCCTCCTACTGTCCCAGTAAGATACCAGTTAATGGGTCGCCGGGTCTAGTAAGGAAGTTTTATGAAAGTTAAGAAGTTATTGGAAATAAATCGTCTCGAAGGTGCCTTAGCATTTGAAGAAGTTGGAGTGAAATTTAGACACCGCCTGTGAGTTGCCTCCTTTTTGCATTTCTCTAGAGAGGTCGCGTTCGATGAATCGTGTCATGCATTTCATCAAATACCCACAGAAATGAGCATTCACAAAATTTTGATTACAAAATTCTTCTAAATTTCGAGCAATTTTATAGTCTACGTGCGAAGTAACTATAAAGTCCTTAAGAATCCATGATTTCAAAGTAAAATGTAAACGCTATTTCACATTTAAGAGGCATGGGCTTCAGAGACCTCGGTATTCTTCACGCTGAAGATAAAACCAGGATACAAGGGCGAGTTGTTTGCTGTCTACAGCTCGCAGGGTCGAGTCCTCCTCTCCGTAGGTGTCGATAAGCGAGTAGTAGTGGCCTATCAGGAGGCCGCATCCGGCGTTAGAGCCGCCCGCATCTCCGCTACCGGTACTACCATCCACAGGGAGAAGATTGGACCCGCTCTCGATGACAATGAGTGAGTGAAATTTCCTCCTAAAGTCAATTTTTATAGCCTCAATTTGCGATTCATTATGCTTTTTCGCTGACACTGACGTTACAAACCAGAAACCAACTATCCTTCATACAATTGCAGTTCTGAATACAGATTTTCTGTCAAATACTCTATGCGTAAGAGCATAATGCAGAGGCTTTAAGTAGTAAAACATTTGCACAATCCAACAACTCGTTCTTTGGACGCTTCCTTCCCATAAGGCCAAGCATAGTCCAATCCATTGCGAAATATTTTGGTTAATAACAGAACGGAGACATCGCCTTGACAATTATTGTTGGGGTCATCTGAGCATTTCCATCATTGTTTAAGCACTCGTCTATTAAATTATGCCAATTTGGATTTCTGAAATATCTGTAAGACCCTCTTGAGCAGAATGTTTGACATTTCGGTAGTTTCCCCTATTCATACCAGTTCGTATGAGATGATCAATACTGAGAAGGTAACCGCTCAATTTTCAGATGGCATCGTGTTGGGTTGAATTTCAAGGATGGTCGTGTGCGCCTCGCCGTTGACTGCAAGACAATAGAGGGCTCAACTACCATCCTTCCCGTCAAGTTCATTGACAAACGCAATACCCTCAGCCTCCTGCCAAATGGTCTTGATGTAAGTTTCTCCAACTCCCACCTCTGTTTCGTCACAATTCTCTCCTCATCTGCAGACTGATGGAGTGAACTAGAAAAAGCATTCCTTCCTTACCGCTTTCATAGAAGGCATTAGAAGAGCAACTCTTTTACTGGACGTTGTATTCGTCGGATTTGAACAAGTCAACTGATGGTCTATTGTTGCACCACTCCCATACAGAGGAACAAATTAAGTAAATGAAAAGTTGCGACAGCATCGTTAGCCACAGTGTGCATTCCTAGCATAAATGGCTAAACTGAAATTACTATCAGGAAATGCCTAAATGCGTGCCTTCTTTGGCTTTTCCTAGGGAGTCTTGCAAGATCTAATGTTGGTGCAAGGCGACCGGAGTCTGGAGCAGCAGTGCCTCATTTATACGCCCGACTGCCCTGCTGACGGTGATGATGCTATGATGAATGATGAGGTGGGCTGCTATTCAAGGGCTGAATCCCCAGAATCCTCATTGCTTACAATAGCATTTTTAGTTTTCCCCCTTGTTCTCAATGCATTCATGTGATTCCAGCGAACGCTG